GACCATGGCTATTAAGGAAAAAAAAACGTTTAAAGAATAGATTGCCTGGAAGTAGGAGCATGAAGTCAGGACATTGGGTTTTGCTTTTTCCCCTATAAAACGGGGCTCCCATCTGCTTCTCCGGGAGGCAAGGGGAGTGTTCTCATGCATCTCTGCATCCCACGGAGCAGCTTCCCAGGCTTAGGAGAAACAGAGTTGTGCTGGCTGTTCCTGAATGCCCTCTCTGGTTTTAGGCATTTGGCCTCATCAGGGGGACCAGAGTCGGGGTCCTCATAGATGTGTCAGTGATCAGCAGTGGCCCTCAGAAAGAAGAGTTCCAAAGTGACCTCATGGTAAGTCTCTGGCGCAGAGATGTAATGAAACCACCCCACCACCCCCTCCCCTCCCCTTCCTGAGCCTGCTAACCTGCAAAACAGGGTGTTTTGTAAAGAACAGTTCACACTTAATTAGCACCTCTGGTTAAAGAAATCTGTGGAGTTCTGAGAAATCCAACCCCAGAGTCATTTTCGGTTGCAGCGTGAATTTCTAGTATTCTCACCACAGCAGTACCTCCCAACTAGACACTTCGCCTCAAGAGCCCACGGATCCCTGGAAAGAGGACGTGGGACGGCAATCAGCTGGGGGCCAACTCCAGCTCAGCAGAGCAGAAGCAAAGGGCTTCTGGCCTTTGCTGGGTGGAGGAGCCACTCTGGTTTCTTTGGAGTTCAGGTTCCTGTTGGATACTCAGCAGCTATGGCTCAAGAGCATGGAGCAGGCTGAAATCATGCCCACTGCTCCATCCCTGACTCACTAGCCTTGGAGAGAAACCACCACCCCGGACCTCTGTCCTTCCTCCTTGGGTGCCACTGACCCAGCCGTAGCACATGCCAAGAAGGGCAGCCAAGATTCTCACCCCATACACAAGAGACCCCGTGGGCGGGAAGCAAATGTCAGCTTGGGACCAGCCGCTAAGCTGAGCCTCAAGCAGCCCCATTTCAGCACAGCTCACAGCCCAGCCCAGGGGGGCCAGTAAGGCAGGAGAAGTGAAGCCAGGCTCCATGTGCCCCTGGCTCTGGGAGCCACTGAGGTCCTTTTGTCCAACAGAGCCTCATTGATGAGCAGCTAAGCCACAAGGAGAAGCTGTTTGTCCTGTCCTTCGGCACCATGACCCGGTCCCTCTGGCCAGACCCCGTGGAAGTCAACGCCTCCACGTGAGTGGCTACCCAGCCTCGACCAAGATACTTACTTGTTCATTTTCTTCCCTAAGCGTCAGTGTCATACTTGAATGATTAAGGTGCAAACCCCAAGACCTCAATAGCTAAGCGAGTACAAAGAGACAATTCACAAAAGCAGAAGCACAGTAGCCAGTAACTTTTGGAAAGATGTTCACCCTCATGAGCAGTCCATAAAATGAAAGACAAGACAACCAAAAGACATCATTTTTATACAGCTGACTAGCACAGATGGTTGTATTATTGTGAAAATGACACATGCACGTTTTTAAAAATCCCAGTAGTGTGAAAGGATAAATAATAATAAATCAGTCTCCCTCTCACTCCAGACCACTTCTCATCTCCAATAACAGTTTCTTGTATCTGCTTCCACAGACAGTCTTTGCACATACATGCATCTGCATGTTTACCCTCTTATTAAACATAGACAGGAGCACATAACACTGGTATGCACCCTGGCATTCCACCTAACCTTAAATATCATTCTCTGGCAGTGCATACAGATCTACCTCGTTTGTTTTAATGGCTACATAGTATTGCACAGCATAAACATCTTTTATTTGGGAGTTTCGAGTTTGGGGTTTTTTTGAGGGATGGCGGGGAGGTGTGTAAGAATTTCTACTTCCTTAGGCCAGTAAAGTAGAAATTTCTTTTCCACAAAGGCAATATCCTCGATCACCCACCATGTGTTAGGTACCATGCCAGGCACTTTACACATATGATTGTGTTTAATATTTATAGCCACCCCATGGAATAGAATTATTATCCTCATTTTGCAGATGAGGAAACTCGGACTCCAGTTAGGGAAGATGCCCAAAGTGGCAGAGCCCAGTTTGGATTTTAGATCCCAGGAGAAACCACATGCTTAGCTTCCCGGGAGGGAGGCCCCCTTCCCAGCACTAGATGTAAAGGGGAACGTGTCGTGTCCAGGTAGAGAAATCCCAGGTTTCTGGCAGCTCTGGCTTTGAATCCCAGCTCTGACAGTCCATGGGGGATCTTGACTAGTCCTTTGACTCTCTCCTTTGCAGAGCAAAGCCAACCATACCTACTTTTCACGGAGTTCTTGTGAAAAGGAAATGAAAAATGAGTACCTGGCACGTGGCAGGTCCTTAGTGAATGAGACGTTTTTTTCTCTGATTTCCACTCTAGTTAGACCACTCATCTCTGGGAGGTTAAACCTGGAAGTCACCTTGAGA